TTAAATTCGTCTACGCGTGGGGCCTGGCGAGCAGCATCTGGTAAGTGATTCCACAGGGTATTCGCTTGGACAAAGAGGGAGGTAGAGGCACTGAAGGTGCGGGCAAAACGCTGTTCAAGTTTCGAGGGGTCTCGGCTAGAACTCCTCAAGTAACCATCGGGGATGGGACAGACACCATGTAGGTACCTGTAGAGGAGGACCCGTCTGAAGAACAGTCGACGTTTATCAAGTCTGGACCAACGGAGGGATTGCAGCCGTCTTTCATAGGGTAGCTTGCTTGCCCTCTTGTCCTGCAAGTAGAGTGCTGTCTTTGTGGCCTTTCTTTGCGTCGACTCTAGTCTCCTCTGTAGGTCAACCTGTTTGAGAAAAACGTAAACTGATTGTGGGGCGGAAAACATAGTCCGCAATTATCGTTCCGAAACGAGCGAACTATGTTTTCTCCCCGCAAACTTTTTGCTAGGGGGTGATGCGTCGGCGCGTCGGCCCGTCTGCTTCTCGGGGCGTCTGCAGGCGTGTGTTTGCGGGACACGTGTTCCTTCTTCCCGTGGATCCCGACTCCGAAGCCAGCTTTGCGATCCTTCCACGTCAACGAGTCAAAATTTTCCTTGCCATCTGTGGAATGCGACTGCGTATTGCAGTAGCAGCGCGACGGTGCGCTGCGACGAACGACGACACGCCGAGCACAAAGTCCGGGCCCCTTGACGACGGTCCGCGCCTACTCGAGAGATTGCTCCGCGGGTCGGCGGTCGGCCACGTTGGTGACGCGCAGTGACGCCGGAATCTTTCGCTTGTTATTGGCTGACGCGTAAAGAGATGCCCCTCCCGTTTTCCGGGGTCATCTCAGAAAGGGGGCGTGCCGGGGACTTTGATAGCATTTTTAATAGGGAAATCCGCCGCGCATGACCGTAATTTTATGATTTTTAGGATCCTTAGGCCCCGTAGATTGAGTTATCGCCATAAATAGACCATCGCAGAACGCTCCGAAGGGCCCCTTTAAGGAAATGGTTCAACGTCGTGAAAAAATGAAAATGAGTGTTCATTTTTTTTTTTTACATTTACGATTGAATGTTTACATATAACTGGTCTCCTTGTGTTCTCTTTGTGTTCGAGATATTTTCGTACTATTGCAAACATATCATGGATAGAGAGGAGAGGGGAAAATGCATTTTTGTTGTCGCTTTTTGCTCTGTTAACAAATCCATTGTGTTCTCCTAGGTGTACTCAACTTTCTGCGAAGTGCCATGTAAAATATATGGTTGTATAGGGCAAACAGCATAGACAGTTTTCTTTTTAACTTTGACCGTATTTGGAAAACGTGTGACATGTTTTATTTAATCTGTCCTTTTATTTCGCGGTAAGGTGCAATGTTTACATAAAACTAAGTTTGTAACATGTGGTGTCAAAACTGAGATGTGTTTATTTTACGCTTGTTCTTTTTTTCTCTGTTTTCTTTTTCTGTTTGATTTGTTTTTCTTTTATGGACTGCCTGTTCTCACACACAAGCACGCAAGTGCTTTTGTGAGGCAGCAATTAATGTATGTGAATGATTTTGTGCTAATAAAACTATTATCATTATTCAATAATTTTATTCGAACAAATAATATTACTGGTTTTAACTAGACTCATTGCTGCTGCAGAGAACATATCTTTGGTCATGCTTTGTCACCCGTATTAGAGAAATTTAATATCGCTTTAATTTTCTGACCTGGAGCGTTTCTGCAATAAAAAGTAGGTGCCAGGAGCGATAAGGATCCACGAACAATGACTTTGGTATCGCAGCAGACCACTGAAATGACACTGTCCTTGGTGGGTGTAGGAAAATATGTCCCCGGAAAAGATGTCCCCGCAGAAAAAGTTCCCGGACAAAATGCCCCCTGAAAAAAAGGCCCCAGGTGGGAAGTAGGAAAAAATGTCCCCAAAGGATTCTCTATCCCTGGGTTTCCCTGATCCTGATGACCTTCGGGCGCTCCGGTGATATGTCCTTGGGAAAAAAGGCACCGTGTGGCGGGTAGAGAAAAAACGGCCCCAACAAATCAGGAAAAATACGATTCCCCAAGGTACACATCACGACACTGTTAGTGCGAACACGACATAGGCGCATTTTCACGTTTTACTTAGAAATAGTATTAGTGGGAACGAAATTATACCCTCTGCGGTATATCCTCGGATGAGCACTTTCAGTACCTATAATAACTTTGATAACAACCTTTCGTTTCTACAAAAAAAAAATATAAAAAAACTAGCGATCCCTAGTTCGAGCTAGCATGATTTTTACGAATTTAGAAATGGTACACAAGTACCTATCAAATTTCTCCAAACAGAGTAATTTGGTTTTGACTAAAAATGTTATAAATGTTTATTTGACAACGGGAAAAAAAGAAGAAAAAAAATAATTTGTTTTTGGCAATCACAATATTTTGGTTTCCAAAATACCCCACAATAGATTATTTCGGTTGCTTAGTGCGACTTCCAGTCTCCCTTTCTACCTCTAGGTGGGTTAGGTCATTTGTGACCGGATAATCACAGGACCGCCAAAGACCCTGACAATCGGGGAAAGCCCGGCGATAGAGAACCCCTTAAGGACATTTTTTCCTACTTTCCACTTGGAGCCTTTTTTCCGGGGACATATTTTCCGGGAACTTTTTTCCGGGGGCATTTTTTCCTGGGACTTTTTTCCGGGGTCATTTCTTCCGGAACCTGTCCTTGGTGATATTATGCAACCGTTTGAAAACATCACATTTCCCAAGTCAGCGAGTTAAAAAGCCAATGCTGAGAGTTTTAGTAGATCGTTCAGTCACTTCCGCAAAGCAATCCGTTATGAGTATGGCCTCCGCTATATATACCGTAGCGGAGCCGCGTTTTCATGCTTTAGAGAACGTTTGCAACCCGGTGCAGAATATAGCGTTACGAGAGCTAACGCAATGCAACTATTTCGGACACTAAAGCTAAAATAAAAGTTTGCAGAGGAATTGTTAGCAGTCTCCTATTCATGTCGCTGTCTAAATAGAATATTGATTTATTATCGAGTAAGTTTATGTTCATCCTTGCTTCTTTTAAAAGTACGTCCAGTGCGTTTGCGAAGAATAAATTTGAGATCCACGTTGTTGACGCCGGGTTGGCTTGGTTGTGTACGACAGCCGCGCTCGTTTTGCGACACGAGAGGAACCGCGCGATAATGGACCAAGTCGGCCGCATAAAAGAAAAAAAGTGCGACGTTTTTCTTTACTTTTTATTTGTTCCGAGTGTGTTATTTGATCACACAGTATCAGGAGATTCCGCATGAACTAAAAAAAAGCGGCGGTGAACCGTCCACTGGGATAGATCGTCCGTCCCTTGAGGATCCGGCCTCCCTCCCCCACTTCGCCCCACAACCAGTACAGAATGTCTGTACTAGCCTTTCTTCCAAGTGGAAGAAAGGCAAGTCAGACACTACCCGAATGAGTAGTTGACCTTGTTTCCCGGATCCATGGCTTCGTTCCTTCGCCGAGTTGTCATTTCTGTGTCATTTCTTGTGCGGGGCTATGGTTTTCGAAAAAAAAAACGCGTGTTCAATCAAGCCGGTCGTGGTCCCGATGTTGACGGACTACGACGTGTGTCGGACGGCAGTCGCTCGCCGCAACACAGTGCTCGTTTCTAACGACTGAATATGCCTGTTCTGTTTTACACAGAACTGAAATAAACGCCACAGATTACCTTTACCTATATGGTACGTACGCTTTATTTGAAGTGTATGTTTCTCGTGGAGGTGACGGAGTTAGGAACGTACAGACGGGTCGACTCGAATAGAGGAGCGATCTCAGCAGCTACTTGATCAAGCAAAAAAAATATTCCATGATCACGACGATTTATTTCTTGTGCGCCCTAGAATTACTACAATTAATGTTAACAATTAACAATTATTAATGTAATTACTACAATTACATTTTGAAAAAAAAAGTTCTTTGTTACTGCCGGCGGAAAAGAAACATCGTCGAACACGTTGCATCATGTTGCACGAAGGACACCCCGTACAGTAACTGATTATGAAAAGCAGAGTCCACAATATCAAATAATCACCTTAATGAATAGCACATCCCAAAGAAACTAACACAATCGTTTACGGAATTAAAAAAAAAATCTGAGCACTATTGAAAGCGTTATCAAGTTTAAATAAAATGTGAACCCAAATGTACCATAAATAAGGAAACAACGCATGAATATTTTCTTGATGCTGATAGGGGCTTGTTTATGTGTTTACTTTCATATATTCGATTACACCTGAGTCTCGTGTACCATGTATTGTTTGGTTTCTTGTCATTTATATATTTCTATGTTATCGGGAAGATGCCGATCACTTTGAGTTGAGAACTTCCAGCCGAATGCCTTTTTCCTGTTTATTTATACGGGACCAGTGCCCCGCCAGGCTCGTTAGACTTTTGTACTGGTCTCTCATTTGTACCCTAACCGAAAGTAAATAAATAGAATAAAATAAATATATTTTAGTCTTCCGCGGAGCCTCCCGAGAAGGCGATACAAATCGCGCAAATCCGATCTGAATCAACATGTTTTCAACGTGCGATCTTGTAGTACTTCTGTTTGATCTATTTGTTAAATACCGCTTCCTAGCATTCGCACGCCCTCAGTTAAATTTTCTACCTAAAGCGGAGACACCAGACGACAGTTTAAGACTCTCTGTACATTTGCGCTCTCTTAATTTCTAAGCAGTATATTTAAGGTTTTAGCTTACTTCTCAATCCACGCCGTGTCAGAGAATGCATGAATATTGTGTAATCCCGACACCAGCAGAAAAAGAAGATTCAGACGAGGTACTCTAAATTAGTCATTCGCAAAAACTTCGGCGAGATCGACCACCGCGATTGGCCATTGACATTGCCGCTGGCCAATCACGCACGTCGGCAATTGCGTCAACTTTCTTTCCTGGTGTTTCTCTTAGAGCCCCCGGGAGTGTATTGTGCTAAAAAAAAAGAAATTTTATTTATATCACAAACGAAGGTCGCTGGAGTATCATTTTACCCGTTTCAACTAGTATTGTCCAGGAGACTTCCTGGCTACTGAACCCGTACAAAGCTCTGTGTTGGCTCGAAAAAATATCAAATTCCAGCAATGCTGAATCTTGGATGCTGTGAGATAATATGTCGGAGGCGACATGGAAGACCCTATCACAGGGGCACTTTTCAGCGAACTTCCACGGTCACGCAGGCGCAGGCTCTTTGACGTTCGTCATTTTCAGCGATTCTTCCCATAGTCGCTTCGCCTTCATTCGGTTGGTGGCCCATGGAACGGCGGAACACTCCTTGCAGTCGGCGAAATACTTACCACTGACCGACCTTACGTCTTCTGAGACAGCCAGGTAAACTACCGCTTGAGATCCCTCCCAAAGGCTCTGTAAGAAAAAATAAGAATATATGAACTTTGACGGAGTGATAAGCCCTCTAGGATCGCTGACAGAACAGGAACGGCAGGTCTCGTCCCTACCATAGCCTCCTCTATACTCACAATGCCCGGCAGCTCGACGACGGAGCCAAAGTGCAGATTTGGAGCGGAAGGATCTGGTAGCACAGAGCATCAAAGAGCCATTTCGCGGGGAACTTGGACGTCAGCGCACAGCTTTTGCAGCGGTGAGGACCGAAACACGCTTGTTTGCTCGGGAGAAGTGTGTTTCGGCGTCTCGCCGTAGCGCGGCGCCACTCACGTGTCTTTCCTCTCCTCCGTTGTCTGCCGCTCTATCCTTTCCAGTTTGGTGGCCGCTTGTCGTGGCGATCTGCCAGGCTTTGTCAGTATATAAGAGGCAATGGTCTTCCGAACACCCGGCCTCCAGCACGAGCGCCATGCCTTCCGCCGTGCTTTGACGGCGCGCGAGCTCGAAGTGCACGAGATACTGAAGCGTTGTAGAAGGTAGAAATCTCGCACTGGAGGCGGGATAACTGAAGGTCCTCCCTGCCGTTACCTCAATTTGACGCTGTCTTAGTGGTGGCATCAGCTGAAACTTAGGCTGCGTCTGGATTTCAGGTGAAGCGAGGTATCGTGAGACCGAAGAATACCAGAACGTAACGCCACTGATCAAGAAGCGCTATTGTCGCGGTGTAATTCCAAGAATATGTGGTCGCGAGGAACTTCAATATAGATAAAGCAACACGAGATAACTGTTTCAGAAGAACTGCATAAGTTTAATAACCAAAGCTAACAGGCGGACCAAAAACCGTGTTTCCTTTTCGAGCCCCAGACGAAGACTCCCTCTCGGCGAGCTGTCTTTACGTAGGCGAGAGACAACCTCTTAAGCCGTCTGGCTCTTCAGCCGACGGTCCCCTGACGCTTGGCCACCGAACTCTCCCCGTCCGGAATGCGCGGCGCCGGGTTTCACCCAGTGTTGTACACGTTCCTCAAAAAAAGGAACGAAAGCTCGTTCCTCGTTCCTTCCGATTTTTGGAACGCGTTCCCGTTACAAGTTCCATATGTGAAAAGGAACTCGTTCCCGTTACACTTTAAAAAATGGAACGTACCGTTACATATACGTTACATTTGTATTTTTCGCTAATTACTATATTTAGTTAACTCAAGCAGAATTTTTTTTTATTTATCCCATTAATAGTCAGCATACGAGTTCGTATGTCGTGATGGAAGGGCACCAGGAGAAGAAAACACGCGGAAGCAGGGTTTCATTTGTTGATATATTCATGTTAAAAATCTCAGCTATTAACCATGTCCATGTTTGTAGTGGATAATTCAGACGAGCCAAATGTACTTTTACCGAGATTGCACGAGCGTTTTACAACAGCCTCACACGTTTCAATTCAACAGAGTCCCGTGTTAGAAGTTAACAACAGTTGCTTCTCGATGTTGCTGTCCCTAAGACGAGCAAGTGAAGGAGAGGGTAGGGCTTTTGGAAAGTCAGTCTTGAAAGCTACAAATACATTGTTGTGAAGGTTGGATTTGTTTTTCAGTTTGAAGGTGGAGGACAAGAAAAGGAATAAAGTTTTTTGTTTTTTTTGTGCATTTTTTAACTGAATAATGTTTGGGATAGAAGGGTGAGTCCGATATCCAGCAATCTATAATCTTGTTGTAATTGGAGGTCTCGTTATTGAAGTTCAAAAATGGCTGTAGTCGGAATACGATTTCTGGGTGTATGAGGATTCGTGGAACCAAAGAAAATAGCTGAGTTTGAAACAGCCCTCTTTCTTTGTCTTTTCCTACGACTAAAAGTTTTGCTTTTTGTACCGCAGTTTCGGGCACTCAAAAAAGTATCAATACCCACCAGCTCTCCTGCACCCGAAACTCTTAGCAAGCGAGGACCACACTAAATAATCCATAATATTAGTAGCCAAAAAGTTAAAGAGATCCCGCACCTCGTAAAGGCATTGTTTTTGTACTTTCATATTTTCCCTGTTAGAAATAAATTAAAAATCACCCCACTGGACGAAAAATAGGAACGCCGTTACTCTTTCCGTTCCAGTAAAAATGTAACGCGTTCCCGTTCCAGTTCCAGCGATGAAAAATGGAACGGCGGCGTTCATTCGTTCCTCCTAAAAGGAACGCGTTCCAGGAACGCCGTTCCTTGGAACGCCGTTCCGTACAACACTGGTTTCACCCCTACAACCGCCGTCCGCTTGCGCAGTCTTCGTCGAAGGACCGTCCGCTATCTGGAGCTTGTCTAGAGAGGCCACGGGCCGCCACAAATAAAAATGGACCTGTTATTTTTTTTTCAATCCTTTTTTTTTTGTGTGCGCAAAAGTTGATATCGTAGGTGCGGGGACAAAGCCAACGATTCGATTCCCGGGAGTGCGTCATCGAGCTTTGCGATCCCCGCTATGACAATATTTAAAGGCTTCCCGTAGCTCTCAAATCTTGAGCAGCGCTCCAGGCGAGCAAACTAGAATATTTGGTTGCGTTTCAAACATGCGTCAATGTGCTTCCCCGCTACAGTTTTTTGTACTCGGCTTCATTCTAAGTGCCAGCGTAGCAGAGGCTTCAACACCGAGCTTTCAGCGTCCCTGCCAAACACGCGCGCTCGTGCGGTGCGATCATTGTTCAGGAGGAGGTGCTTCTGCGAGTGGCTTCGCTATCACGTAAAGTGAAACATACGTGCTCGCGGAAGCTATGAGAGGAAACAAGGATGAAAGGAACGTTTAAGTGAACTCTGCGGCCACGAGCTGCATAATTTGTTTTTATACGTTTCGTTACCGCGCATTTACAGATGCTGACAGATGCTTGTATTAGAACGTGGCACGTGCGAATCGGAAACGTTACAGCTCCATACGGATTGTGCAGCCAGCATAACATGGTCACGTCTTGCGTAAGTCTTCCCCAGAGCCGTATATAAGAACGGTTTGGACAGTGGGCGGAGCAAAGGGTGCGGTGCGCGAGCGTCTTGAGAGGCGCAGTCCCGCTCGGCTCGTGCGCTGGCTTTGGCAGTGCTTTCTTGCCCCGTCTCAGCTGAGACGCTATTTGTAGCAACTCGGCCCTGGTTTGGAGCGGACTAAAGTCACTGGATCCTGGGAAAGTAGCGCAATTGCCTTCCCTACCTGCTAGCCGGACACAAACGGGTACTAACATACAGACGACCCAAACCTAGCAAGGCGATTGGCTAATCGGTATACGTTACCATGGAAATCGCCATCTTGGTCCATTTAAATCTTCGAAGCTTCCAGGGGGTCGTTCTAAACCAGTCGCGCCAAGATCACCATGAAGCATCATCGTACTGGAGGCGTTCATCGCCAATATAAGAGTCTTTGGCACTCTGTATGCAGTCAACTTATTATTCATGCCCATCTCCATGGATCTCTTACAGTTATATTGTTCTTCTTGCGTATTTCAAAACAGTAAACTTATTTTTCAGTGCCTCCAAGCACCGACACAGCATCTGGAGGTGGTACGACGGTGTACGCTTGTTTCACCGGTGTTTGGTTAGCATAATCTCGGTATACAAAAATCCACTACATAAAGCTACCCGTCACCAGGGGATCTAGATCGGCTCACCAAGAACGGAGGGGTCAAGGAGAAATTGCTCATTTCACGGACCAAGATGGCGACCACACGGGGAGCTTGGCGCTACTGTCCCAGGATCCAGTGACTTTAGAGCGGACCAGAGCCGTTTATTGGGGGAGTTTGGCCATACATTGGTTTGAATAGACGAGCATCTCGGGGCCAACGGCAGGCCTCGAAACAGCCCCTAGCGGTGGTCGTGAGCTCTAAGTGCGTGACACGACTAATTTAAGTCGTTTTGGCGTCACTCGAGCAAGAAGGTATAACTCTGGGTGACTGAAAACTTGGCGCGTCTTAGGGTTTCGTCACGTCCATATTCGACGGTAGAATAAACGAACGTGCGGTCCGAACCAGTGCCGATTCGCTAAAAACAGCGTCTCAGCTGAAACTGGGGGAAGGAAAACAGTGACAAAGCCAGCGCACGAGTGGTGCCGGACCGTCTCAACCCGAGCCGAGCAAGACGCGTCTCAAGACGCGCACGCGCCCCACCCTTTGCACTGTTCGGATAATAATATCTTCATTTGGCTCTGGAGAGCGGCCGCACCGCGGAAAGGCAAGAGCCATTACCATGGAGGCCGCGGTGCCGCGTCCAAGGAACATGAAAATGCGATCAGTAAATACATGCAAGATGATGACGAGACGGATCGTTGCTATAGCAGGGAATGTCAGTCCAATTGGAAGATGTCCACATTTCGTTGAGGTGGGTTAGCAGCGGGCCAATGGGATCTGCAGCCTGCCCTTCGATCGGTGCGCGGTTGCACTAAGGAGCCCCAGGAGCATGATGGTGCTGTCGCTCTCTAGATTCGAAGCATCAGGCTCCTAGTCAAAGCAGAAAGCTGCCGCCTCCGAGGTACCGAGACCCAGGGCTTAGATTGAGGCACCGCCCAAGTCCCGTGTGGCATCCTCTAAACGTCGTCGTAGTCGTCGTCGTCAAGCTGCTGAGAGATTAAACGCTTCTATTTCACGCTTAAAATGTTGTTTCCAATATTGTGACGTCGCAATTTCTGATTGGTCGTCGCGTTGTCACTTATTTAGTTTACGCCCTAACCGCGGGGGGAATATTCGGCGCTGGCGGCGGCCTTTGCTCCGCCTATTGGCCGAACTCTCCCAATATACGGCTCCGGAGCGGACGTTCGTTCGTTGTATACTTGAATATTGGCGTGACCAAAAACCTCCCATGCGCAAAGATTTTAGTCACCGAGAACGAAACCTTTTCACTCTAGCGACGCTAAAACGGCTTAAATTATTCGCGTCGCTCATCTAGAGCTCACGACCACCGTTAGGGGCTGTTTCGAGGCCCGCCGTTAGCCCCGAGATGCTTGCCTATTCAAACCAATGTATGGCCAACCTCTCCCAATGAACGGCTCTGGTCTTCCGGACGCGCTCGCGTCCCCTGCCCCAAAG